GGGCACCCTCATGCCGAAGATGAAGAGGTTCTCCTCGCCCGCCTCCTCGGCCATCTCCACGTTGGCACCATCCATGGTGCCGATGGTCAGCGCCCCGTTCAGCATGAACTTCATGTTCCCGGTGCCCGAGGCCTCGGTGCCCGCCGTGGAGATCTGCTCCGACAGGTCCGCGGCCGGGATCACTGCGGGCAGCGCGGGCAGCGCGGTGAGCATCGGGGTTATATCGGGGGATATCAGGTGATATCGGGGTTATATCGGGGATATCAGGATGTATTGGGGTGTATTTGGGTTATATCAGGGGATATCAGGGTGTATTGGGGTGTATTTGGGTTATATTGGGGATATCGGGGTGTATCAGGGTTATATAGGAGTTATATCAGGGTGTATCGGGAGATATCGGGGTGTATTTGAGTTCTATTGGGGGATATCAGGTGATATCAGGGTTATATAGGAGTTATATCAGGGTGGTTTTGGGTTATATCGGGGTGTATCGGGGTTATATTGGGGTGTATCGGGGTTATATCGGGGGATATCAGGATGTATTGGGGTGTATTTGGGTTATATTGGGGGATTTTGGGGTGGTTCAGGAGGTTTTTGGGGTGGGTTCAGGAGGTTTTTGGGGTGGGTTCAGGGAAGATTTTGGGGTTCAGGGGATTTTGGGGTGGGTTCAGAGAGGTTTTCGGGGTTCAGGGGGATTTTGGGGTGGATTCGGGAGGATTTTGGGGTTCAGGAGGTTTTTGGGGTGGGTTCAGGGGGATTTTGGGGTTCGTTCAGGGAGGATTTTGGGGTTCAGGGGATTTTGGGGTGGGTTCAGGAGGTTTTTGGGGTTCAGGGGGGTTTTTGGGGTGCCCACCCTTCTCGGCCAGCAACACGCGGTAGTTCTCCAGGAACAGCACCCGCAGGCGGGTTGGGGATTTTGGGGTGGGTTCAGGGGGGTTTTGGAGTGGGTTCAGGGAGGATTTTGGGGTGGGTTCAGGGGGTTTTTGGAGTTGTTCAGGGAGGATTTTGGGGTTGTTCAGGAGGTTTTTGGGGTTCAGGAGGTTTTTGGGGTGCCCACCCTTCTCGGCCAGCGACA